GATAGATAGATAGATAGATAGATAGATAGATAGATAGATAGATAGATAGATAGATAGATAGATAGATAGATAGATGTGGAAGGGAAGGGAAGGGAAGCTATAACAGCTCTCTTATTTAGGAGATGAAATATCTTTCTTCCACTTTCTTTGAAGTGGCTTCAAAAGGTAATAGTGTGCTTCAGAAAACCATGTCATGAACTCTACCTTTGCAGGAGGTACTTTTCCTGCAGCAGTGATTTGCCCAGTAAAAAACCTTCCAAAGTGATTGGCCGCGAGAACAACGGCTTTGTACCTAGGGGGGGAAAAAAGGACAAAAGAGAAAAACATTGGAACTGCTAACACAGTAGGCATTTGAAACAAATAATAACAGACTCAATGGACTAATAGACAAAAAATAGAAAAAATAGAAAATAAAAAAATAGAAAAAATAGAATACAAACTAGGTGGATACGACCTCATTGATGACCCTCACTCTGTCAAGGACCTCAGAGTATTCATATCTAATGATCTAAGCGCCAGAGCTCACTGTAACAGCATTGCCAAAAAAGTATTAAGAGTTGTAAATCTAATCTGACGAAGCTTCTCCTCTGGAAATATTGAATTGCTAACTCGGCTATACAAAACCTTTGCTAGACCAATACTTGAATACAGCTCATCTGTCTGGAATCCACACTGCATATCAGACACTAATACAATCGAGCGAGTCCAGAAGTATTTCACAAGAAGAGTACTACACTCCTCTGCTCGCAACAGAATACCCTACACCACCAGGCTTGAGATTTTGGGCTTGGACACCCTTGAACTATGCCCCCTATGGTTGGACTTAAGCGTAGTACACAAAATTATCTGCTACAATGTCCTACCTGTCCATGACTACTTCAGCTTCAATCGCAACAATACAAGAGCATACAAAAGATACAAATTCAATGTTAACCGCTCCAAACTTGATTGCAGAAAGTACGACTTCAGCAACAGAGTGGTCCCTGCTTGGAATGCACTACCTGATTCTGTTGTTACATCCTCTAACCCCCACTCCTTTAACCTCAAACTAACCACTATTGACCTCACCCCATTCCTAAGAGGTCTGTAAGGGGCGTGCATAAGTGCCCCATTGTGCCTACTGTCCCTGTCCTATTGTCCCCATTATTATTCATACCTATTTCCTGTATTCTTACTCATGTTTATACTTATACCTATTATCTTGTAAGCAATTGACAAATCAAATCAAATAAAAATAAACAAAATAAAACTCCTTAGATAAGTCATGGCAATCAAACATCTCCAACAAATAAATTATCAGTAAAACCAAAAAACCAAAAATGGCATTTATCTATTAGGTGAGAAGCCATAGATAGATATCAAAATCATCATCATCACCATGTCCTTATAGTTCATACCTTTGCTTGTTACACCCTAATAAATGGCTAATCAAAGGACATTTCTTATATTATAAACTGCCCAGAATTGCTTCAAAGTGCGAGAGGAGTAGCATATAAATTTAATAAATTTATTTATTTATTATTTACTTATTTATTAAATGAATTTGCTGCCCACTTTGCAGTCCTACGACTCTGGGTGGCTTACCATAAAACAACAGATTAGGACAGTAAGATAATAAATACATCAAAATTAAGAAAGAAATCGCTAAGATAGCAGAGGGTATACAACAGCAGAGTGGAGGTGAAAATCTTCTAATCCAGAAACCTGCCCATAGTAAATGTTTTCTCCACCTCTCAAATTACATTATGCTCATTGGGGTGAATGTTTTTCTCTGTTCATCATAGATTTTTTTTTTTTTTTTTGGTAAAAGGATCTTTTTGTTTAGTTGTAGTGCAGATTCCTACATTCTTAGGCTGAGCATCCCGTTCCTTAATGTTTGTTTTTGGAATGTTTGTTTGAGCCATTATTGCGTACCTGGCTCTATGCTGGTTAGTGTATCTTGAATGTTCCAAGAGAAAAATAAAGTGGATTCATTTTGTGGCTTAAAAGGTTCCTTCCTCCCTCCCCTCCGAATGTTGGATGTTATGAATTAGCAAAAGATACTTGTTTTGGATTAGAAAACAAAATGATTACAGCTCGTTTTGTTCTTCAGCAGTAAGCAAACATTTTGACTGGAAGCAAGGAAGGGAAGGTATCTTTGAAAGCATGCAAAGAAAATTTACAACCCAAGATACCCATGTATCACAAATCCAACATAAACAATCTCCAGAAAATCAGTATGATGTTTACTTCTTTGTTGCACGCAGGACTAAGGAGATTAATAATTTAAGAAGGGAATTGCTCCTTTTGTATACAGGTAGTCCTCAACTTATGACCAGAATTCCCATTGCTAAGCAGAATGGTTAAAGACTGAATTGCGCCCAATTTTACAATCTTTTTGCCATGACTATTAAGCAAGTCAGTTGTTAAGTGAATCAGAGTCGATAAGCAAATCCATCTTGCCCCATTGACTGTTCAAGGATATTTGAGTATGATATATATGATATAGTACATAATATATGATATGATATGTACGTATAAATATGATATGAGCAGGGGTAGGATTCTACCTGGTCGGGCTAGTTCTTTAGAACCAGTTGTTATAATTTTGCTCAGTTCAGAGAACCGGCAAATCACGCCCCTGGCTGGCCTCACCCCTCCCCACCTACTCACTCCTTACCTGGTATGTGCGCCATCCAACTTGCCTGCATTAGCCTAATTTTTGGTAAGTTGTTATTTTTCCTTTTTTCCCTCGACCATCAGCTGTTCTGCTGTGCCTGGAGATTTAGGTTAGCTAGAAAGCAGGAAATCGTTGGGTTTATTGCTTTCTAGCTAATCTAAAAGCAGAGCTGAACTTTCCTTAGGACTGAAGTTTCTATTTTTCAGTGCAGACTCAGGTAGCAGATTGCAGAAAGATAGATCTCTGAGTGAATCTGTGATTCTGCGGGCAACTCAATCTGCCTGCCTGCTTTGCTTGATTTTGGGTAAAAGTTGCTCTTTTTTAAAAAAAAATAAAAAATTCAATAGTTACATAAACATTTACAATATTTACATACAAGCCATGCCCACCCAGTCACATGACCACCAAGCCACACCCACAAATTAGGCCATGCCCACAGAACCAGTTGTTAAGAAATTTGAATCCCATCCCTGGATATGAGTCATGATGGCGCAGTTTGGAGAAGGCCGGCCTAAAGATTCCATTTGTCTTTGTGACTTGTTGCTTCAAACAGGGTCTAATTAGCACGGTGTTATTTTTACAAAACCTTTCATTTGTCTACAAGCTGAGTTTTGCCTGCATGAAAGACCATCATGGAAAAGAAAGCCAGGTTGGTATGTGAGTTTCATGCCAAACCTAAAAACACATTTCAGGGCAGAAACCAGAGAGCAATCTCATTAGCTCATGGCAGCCACCGAGTCTTATGGTTTTCTAAAGACTGATTTATAGTGGCAAAAAGTGTAAGTGCACTAGAGCCCACGCATAATGCATCTGTTCATCTTTAAGGTCACAAGACGTCCTATTGTTTTGATCTACTGTGGAATCTAGTTCATATTACTCAACCCAGTTATAGTTGGTGGGTTTATAAGAGACGTCTGGAATTCTCATTTGATTTTCTTTAGTAACCATAACTTGAATGTGAATCACAGAAGGAAAGACATTTCAAAAGGCAGTAAAACCCCTGGTCTTGTTTTGGCATGAGCAACAGCAGACATCAGAGATGTTCGAATCAACCACCCATCTCTCAGCAAGTTTGGGTTGATACCAAACAAGACGAGATACAGTTATATCAAAAGACCATGAAGTCTCTTCCAGAACAGATGTGACAGAACTAGGCTGGAAACTAATACATCCAGATGATTTAATTACTCAGTTGTTTTGAATCTGCTCTGGATTTAAGAATAATGAAGTCCAATTGTGTAATGTTTGTTTTATTAAGGTGGTATTTAAGAACTGTGTGGTTACTGTTAGCATAACTTAACTCAACCTTCTCCAACTGAGTGTCTTCCAAAAATGCTGGAATTTCTGGAAGCTGTTGTCCAAGCATATCTGGAGAGAACCTACGTTAGCCTAGTCTTCCTTGGATGAAATGAAATACTAATTAAAGATTGGCAGTGGTATATGGCACACACCAGAACCCCAACACAACTACTCGCTCTCACAATAATGTTTTCAAATTTGGAGATCTTCTGATCTGATTTTGGTATCCTCTTAAATGTGCTCGCAAGATTTCAATACACACGAGACAGATGGATATAGGTGCTCCAGGGCAGAAAACAATGCTAACTTCACAATGGATGGCTTAACAGCCATATCTAGTTGGGAGAACGTGGGCTCCAGCCAAAACAGAATTGGCCTCAGAGAAGCTACTGTAAGCAACCAAAGAATAACAAGAGTTCTGTGGTCCCAGCAACCATTTGGATGGAGTACGGTCTTCTGGTTCACCACTGTTATCCTTTCTAATCCATCTTAAACTTTTTCTCTCTCTGTTAAGTAAGAACCAAATATAAGAAATAAGACTGTTGAGAATTTCCCATGTTTTGGGATGTTTCCAACACAACAATTGCCTCAATTTCCACTACTGGGTTTCTATCTATCTATCTATCTATCTATCTATCTATCTATCTATCTATCTATCTATCTATCTATCATCTATCTATCTATCTATCTATCTATCTATCTATCTATTACCCCACTTGAGGTTTCCCACATCTGAGATGCCAGAAATTCGTTATTCTAAGCTCAGAGGAGATGAAATTGTAGCATCTTATAATTGAACAAGGATGACAAGAAAAAGAACTCCGTTCCTAGGGAAGTCATGCAAGGGAAGGGAATGAAGAAGAAGTCAAGAGAACATCTGGGACTCACAGTGGAAGCCCCAAACCTATCAACATCTGTTTTTGATGCATGTAGAAAAAGATGGGACTTCTATCACACAGTTACAGCTGCTCTCATTTTTATACGATCCCATTCCTCATGCCCCTACATCCTATATAAACATGTGTGTTTGTGCTTGTGTATGCCTCTGTGTGTGTGTGTGTGTGTGTGCTTCAAATCAGTCTTAGCCTCTGGTGACTCCCTGGATAAGTCCTTATAGTTTTCTTGGCAAGATTTCGGAAGTGGTTTACCATTGCCTCCTTCCTAAAGCCAAGAATGAATCTATTGGCCTAAGATCATCCATCTGGCTTTGTGCTTTCAGTGGTACTAGAACTCTCAATCTCCCGGTTCCTAGCCCAATGCCTTAACCACTACACCAAACTGACTGTCATACATAAACTAGTACTATATATACAGAGATGAGTGGACAAACCAAAGCCCCAGTGCTGCATAGAGTCCTACTGCTTTGTGTTGTGTATGCTACGGTTTGAGTTGAGGGGCCCTTAAAGGCCAATAAATAAATATCTCCCAACCTTTTCTGCACCCTGTTTTCTGGAACTTCATCCAACAGCAACTGCCAAAAATCAGTAATGAAGGCTTTCTGCTGTTTTTGAAGCAGGGGTCATTGAAAAACAAAACAAAACTCTGGAGCGTCGTTCCTAAAATAATTCTTAAAAACATGCAAGCTTAATACGGTAACTTCCCCCAAACCAGGGAAATTTATATGCCATGGCTCTGCCCAAAAAATGTCCAACACCAGCAAATAACTGCCCATTTCTTATAGAGTGAAACAGGCACTGAGGAACAATGAGAAGAAAGAGGATAATGTGGACTCACCCTGCAATGTTGGCCATTGAGCTTAAGGCATCATATCCTTGGGCAATGGTAACTCGAGGCACTTGATCCATTGCTAAGACAGTGGCTTTGCACTGAGCAAGCTTCTCCAAGAGATCTGGATTCTGTGCTGGATAGATAAAGCTGACCAGAACCGCTTTCTCCTTGAGTAAGGTGGTCTCATGGATTCCCAACTTTTCATTAAAAATTGGAGCTCTGACCTTTGAGAGGATAAATGTCATATTACACTGCTTGGTTAAAAGAAAGAAAATTCCATGCGCAAATGAACTATGCACCAAAGGTAGGACTAGGCTACAGTTTTTCTTTCTAATACACTTGATACTCATAATGTGGCCTTATTATAGATCACAAACCATAACATATAGTCTAAATTATTGTTCAAAACCCAACTGATTATGATTTATTGAACCAGGAATCCAATTCCTGTTTACTTTACACTTTGCAGCCACTAAAATCATAATTATTGGGTCAGCAATTAGTAGAAATTTCATTTCCGCTTTGGATTTTTGTGATCAATTCTTCACATCCCTGAGATGTATACCTCTTTGCTGGCCCATATTTCAACATTTGTTCCATATTCTCACTCTTATTGCTGATAAATGCCAGCCAAATATTTGAATATTATTTTGAACTCAGCTATTACGCTCTGCTATGCTATGCTTAATTGTGGTTTATTGAATATACCATGATTGCCTGGGTTTCTACATTGTGTTAAGCCATATACCACTATTCACAAAATTGTCATGGCTGGATAAGGCTAAAATATTAATTAAAAACTGCATGATTGCTTGGAGTAATAAAGGGATAATCCTAACTCAGAGTTTCCTCTGATTGGCCAAAACCACCCAGCCGGCTTTCATGCCTAAGGCAGGACTAAAACTCACCATTGCCTGGTTTCTAGGCCAGCACCTTAACCATTACACTAAACTCACTCTCTCTCTCTCTCTCTCTCTCTCTCTCTCTCTCTCTCTCTCTCTCTCTCTCTCTCTCTCTCTCTCTCTCTCTAGAGTCCTTTTCAACTTTATTTGTAAAAATAGAGTATGTAACTTGCCCAGTGTCAGTTCTCAATGGAGAAGTTCAAAAGTCCTGTCCGTCCATCCATCCATCCATCCATCCATCAATCCAGCAGTTAAATAATCTTCCCTACCACACCTGGCAGTTTTATTTCATTCTTGCCTTTAGAACGATATCGGATCCAAACACGCTTTTCATGTCCCCAATTTTGGCTCCCGCCTCTATGTACTGATCATCAGAGAACTTGGCTTCTTCGCCTGCTCCATGCTCCACTTGCACACGGAAGCCTTGCTTCACCAAAGCTTGGACACCAGCAGGAGAGAGGGATACTCTTTTTTCATTTTTATATACTTCTTTAGGAACGCCAACCACAAGTTCTTGGTAGCGGATTCCTGTATGAAACAGACACATCAACTAAAAGATTGATAAGCAGGCAGGAAGGAAGCCAAGGTAGACATGATCTCAATGAACTTCAGTATTTATTTATTTATTCATTTATTTGATTTGTCAATCGCTTACAAGATAATAGGTATAAATAAAAACATGAGTGTGAATACAGGAAATAGGTACAAATAAATGGGGACAATAGGACAGGGACAGTAAGCACGATTGTGCACTTATGCAGACCCTTTACAGACCTCTTAGGAATGGGGTGTGGTCAATAATGGATAGTTTGAGGTTAAAGGAGTGGGGGTTAGAGGATGTAACAACAGAGTCATGTAGTGCATTCCAGGCATTGACCACTTTGTTGCTGAAGGTGTACTTTCTGCAATCAAGTTTGGAGCAGTTTGTATCTGTTGTGTGCTCTTGTATTGTTGCGGTTGAAGCTGGAGTAGTCATTGACTAGTAGGACATTGTAGCAGATAATTTTGTCTGCTAGGCTTAAGTCCAATCGTAGGCGTCGTAGTTCAAGGTTGTCTAAGCCCAAATTCTCAAGCCTGGGAATGTTAGAGTTGTCAGGCAGAAGCACAGAAAATAAATCAAAATAATAAACCAAAAGTATCCAGAAAGCTTCAGTTGCGGGAAAGGTGGTTACAAATATATTTACTTATTTATGTATTTCATTAATGAATGTAAAATTATTATAACCGCTGAAAAATTCCAGCATAAATTTTGAGCAGTAAAACCTCATAATACATAATAAGTATTTTCTTTTTTTTAAAAAAAAGTGAAAGAATCAGAGCAAAAATCCCAATCAGGAATATAAACACTGCTCTACAATTTCTGTAGGTGTAAATGCTAAAAAAAAAATGCCTGTGTTTTTTCCTTGCCTAAAACAAGGAAGCTCTATTGAATTTTCTCAGGGAGGGGAATATTTTAAAGATGGAAGAAACCTCCACCAAACCATCTTTTTTAGCTTGTTTGAAAGATATCCCTAAGTTGATACTGTCAATGATCAAGCAGGTAACACTGGGCAGAACAGGTTAAGAAGTATCCAAGGACCAAACCCAAGAAGGCTTTAAAAGTTAAAACTGCATTAAATCAGCAATCTCAATGATTTACTGCAGAACAGGTATACCACCATATCCTTCCATTATATTCTTTGGAGAAAGTCTGCAAGATGGAGTAATATACTTCTCTCTCTCTTTCTATTACTGCTTCATACATTATGCAAACAATGCTTTAGTGTGTTGTATAAGTTTTAACCGATATCTTTTATTCTCATGCTAGAGAAAGTTTTCAGATGCAGAAAAAAAAGGAAAAGATGAAACAAAAGGGATTATGATCATAACATCCATAAATGTTCTGGAGAACGAGAATCTGGATTTGAATTTACTCTTTGAGGTCCTTTGCTTCTGCTAGCCTCCATATCAGGAATGATCCGCTTTTCACAAACCTGCTGGGTTTCAGCTCCTATGAACCACAGACAAACTCACTTGTAGCTTTGATTTGGCTCCAATGACCTTCTCAAAATGTGCTTCCTTCCCTCACACTACACAGCTCTACTGAACCCCTATCACAGCATAGCAAGCAAGGTAGCATAGAAGTAAGTGTATGAGGGTTTTGTTAGTGGCAGAAGATGAAATGTTCCACTGTCAAAGTGCACTTCCATAGCCAACTAACACGATCATACAAAGACACAGGCAGATGCCAAAATAACAACAAATTAAAGTTTGGTTTGCAAAATACTTGACTGGGATTCGGCTTACACAAGCTTTCGAGCTGTTTACATGTTTTAAAAAGGTGCAGCATCAGCCCCAAGCAGTGATGGGACAACCTCAAGTCTACTGGCTTTTGGGACAGGAAAAGGAAAACAAAGAAACAAATAGCGATGTAGAAAGGAGATGGACTTTTTTCCCCTTTTTCGTTTCCCTTCTCGCTCCTGGTTTGAATTAACTGCAATTATTTATAACAAGAGGAAAATATAGTCATTATGCAGATATAAAGCCACACCTTTAGAAAAAACTGATTACATAAAAGCAGGGTTACATATTACTTTCTAAGATGATTCACCCATCATCTTAAGTCATGCTCACCTGAAAAAGCTATAGTTGGCAGGCTTCGTGCAATACGTTAAGCTTTTTTATGCTTTTGGCTTAATGTGTTGAGGAATGCAGCCAGTTCAGAACTCCAGTCAACCTGGATCATATTTTGTGGGGACCTTGTTTTCTTGCAGAGGGTTCATTACCCAACTAGGTAACATCATCTAGTATAGGTCTAGCATTAATCTTGGTGTTAATTCCCTGTTAACTGGGTGATGGTTACTGGCCAAGTTGTTGAGTGGAATGTAGACCAATTGTATGCCTTTCGACCAACAATCCAATAGTAACCCACAGTCTGATTGAGGAAACACTGAGAACACTCCCACAAACACTGACAGGACAAACCACTAATATATAAAAAGAAAGCAAGCCCCATTCACTTCTAACACTGATGATGTTACCTAGCTGGGTAATGAAAGGTTAGCAACAATCAAGTTCAGAGAGCACCAAGGACCCCACAGTTCAACCCTGAGCTAACACCAAGAAAATGCTGAGATTCATTGTCCTTTGCTATATGTACCTTGGGATGTGATCAGAGGTGGTATTCAGCAGGTTTTGACCAGTTCTGGAGAATGGGTAGCGGAAATTTTGAGTAGTTCTGAGAACCAGTAAATGCCACCTCTGACTGGCCCTGCCCCCATCTATTCTCTCCTCCTGAGTCCCAGCTGATTGGCTGGGTCTTCTTTGGTTGCCCTGCAGAGGAGAACGGAGCTGGAAAGCAGGTTAGTGGGGTGGGGAGGGAATGGGATTTTGCAGTAGCCTTCCCCTGCCACACCCACCAAGCCATGTCATGCCCACCAAGCCACACCCACAGAACCGGTAGTAAAAAAAATGTTGAATCCCACCACTGGATGTGATGGATAGATGAGAAGCCAGAGATGCTGAATGCTGCCTTAAAACAGAACTTTCATGCAATCATACATACTTTGATCTTTTGATCCCTATGTAAATGCAATAACACCACCCTAAGAAACACCCTGATGAGAATTTCACCACGAATACTGTATCCTTTGAAAGGCATTTCAAATGCATTTTACCATCAAGTTGAAGCTGATATCTGCTGCATGTGATCAATGCTTTGCTTAATCAAGAAGAGAGACTGGGCAGCCATCGGTATGTCGAGTCTCCTGCTCGAGCAAGGGGATGGACTAGATAGAAGACCTCCAAGGTCCCTTCCAACCCTGTGTTCTAATTCATTTAGTGAGATCATGAAGAAAGAAGGCAAGAGTCAGAAAATGCATTCCAGCAGGTAGCAGATGGTTAGGAGAACTTAATTTGGATTTCTGCACTTAACCGTTGTTGGACTGACTTGGCCTCAAGATTTCTTTCCAACGCGAGGATTCCATAAATTCAGCTAAGGCAGATTTAATTTACATTTAATGTCATTTTTCTTGTCTTCCTCTGCACCTTTCTGCTGAGTACTAATTACTGTAAGTTATAACTTTTCCCCCTTTTCTGTTACAATTACAAAGTCACTGTGACATTTGCAATAACCTCCTTCGCATGTTGAAAATGAGTCAGTTTATACATTGCCCTGTCCAATATTTCTCAGTTACATATCCACCAGAGCCCGTTTCCAAACTATGCTTTTTAGCAATTAAACCCTGTTTTAAGTTGACTTTTGCTTTGCTTACTTTATCTCATTGGGCAATCATTTTCTGGAACAGGCTACAATAAATCTAAACTACTGTTCTTGCAAGAGTAAACAATATTTAATATGCCATTGTTGCTTTATGGCTGGTCTTACACAATGGCAACAAGTAAAATGGGAAACTTGAAATTAAAATCCAAGGTTCAACCTACAAGTGAAGCTCAGATGCATTCTTTTCGGTAGAGTTTTTTCAAATAGAGGCTAACTTTTATAATAGCAATTAAATGGAGGTAGAATGGTTGGGGACTGGATACCTAATTCTTCCATATACTCCTGTTTATTCAATTTTTCTTTCCCTAAACTTTATTCTCTCCCTGAAGAATGTTTCATTCTGTCTCTGAAGTCTGCAAATATTCTGCATCCTAACACATAAATCCCTTCTTGCCTGTGGATCGCTGTGTGTGAATTAGGCAGCTATATAAATTTATTTCATAAATACATTTCTAATTTGAGGGCTTTGCCACATCAGTGACTGGCAACCTGAGGTCCCAGAGCTGCAGATGTCCGTCTAGATCTCCATAGCTAAACCTTTAGTGAAATTGCTGAACAATTTGAGATCTGCTCTTAGCACACTTTGACTAAACTGGCTTCAGGGTTCAATCAAAAATTGTTGCAAATTGTTTTCTCAGTTGAATTACATTGGGCTAAAGCAATGCCATCCATGGACGGAGAGCTTGATGAAGCTAAAGCCTCTTTTTATTGATTATGAATGACTTCCATTAACTTTCTTCTCAAGTGGGTTTAGTACTTCTCACTTAGACTGGCCATTTTTTATTTAATCAGCATAAAAGTGAAGGATCCAAATGGTCCTCAGCTGAGTTTTCATATTTTGATGATCCTTATTATTAGGAATGAGGTAGTTTCATTTTATTTATTTTATTTTATTTATTTATTTGGTCATTAGATAACAGGTATAAGTATAAACATGGTTATGAATACATGAAATGGATATGAATAAAAAGAAACATTAGGACAGGGACGGTAGGCACGTTGGTCACTTCTGGCGGCCTTTTAGGGTGAACAGGTACTCTTGGTGCCAATGGTGAAAGTCTGGTGGTCGTTTCTGGTGGCCTTTTAGGGTTGGAGCGGTACTCTTGCTTCCACGGTGTCAAAGGGCATCGGGAAGCTGTTGGAAAGGGTGTTGCGGAGGCATAGGCCCATGTAGACCGTCTTAGTGGACGTCTGGTGGTTGCTGGCGGCCGTTTAGAGTTAATGGGATTTGGGATAGTTAGTTAGGATTTGAGACCTGTCCCCTTAAGGGAATGCATCATGGTAAATGTAGTTAAGGTATCCTGGGAAATGTAGTTCATGTCATGTGGCCACATCTGTAATCCTGATTGGTCACTAAATTGACCCTTGTTGGGTTGGGGGAGGCTCCTTCACTCTTGCCCGAATCCACCCTACCATGCAGCTGCTTCAATCATCATGGGGTTGAGACTTTATCATCTTTCTACACCACAATTCAGATATGCAAAGGATTGGACATTAAGAGGAACCTCGTCATAAATGTGAGTTGATATGGATGCCTGATGAACCAATAAAAAAGACATTGTGTGGATGCTTTGTGGAGTTACTCTGTCTGCTTTATGACATCCAGATAGTAATAAGCAGACCCCCTACAGACCTCTTAGGAAAGGGGTGAGGTCAATAGTAGACAGTCTAAAATTAAAGTTTTTGGGGTTTGGAGAAGAAACCACAGAGTTAGGTAGAGTATTCCAGACATTGACCACTGTGTTGCTGAAGTCGTATTTCCTGCAATCAAGTTTGGTGCGGTTTACCTTGAGTTTGTATCTATTGTGTGCTCTTGTATTGTTGTGGTTGAAGCTGAAGTATTCATTTGCAGGTAGGACATTGCAATGTATGATTTTATGTACTATACTTGGATCGAATGGAAGGCGGTGTAGTTCTAGGTTGTCTAGGTCTAAAATTTCAAGTCTGGTGGCATAAGGTATTCTGCTACAAGTAGAGGAGTGGAAGACTCTTCTCATGAAATATTTCTGGACTTTCTCAACTGTATTAATATCCGATACGGAATGCAGGTTCCAGACTGATGAACTGTATTCAAGTATTGGTCTAGCAAATGTTTTGTATACTCTAGTTAGTAGTGTGATATTACCAGAGAAAAAGCTACACAGGATTAGGTTAACAACTCTTAATGCCTTTTTAGCTATGTAGTTACAGTGGGCTCTAGCACTTAGATCATTAGAGATGAGTACTCCAAGGTCCTTGACAAAGTTAGGGTCATCAACAAGGTCTAGAATATTCAGCTTGTATTTTATTTTCTGATTTATTTTGCCGATATGTAAGACAGAGAATTTGTTTGTCGAGATTTGAAGTTGCCACTTGTTGGACCATTCTGACACATAGTTGAGGTCTTTTTGAAGGGTAGCAGTATTGTCAGTGGTGTTGATTAGCTTTACATCATTTTATCAACAGTGGGTCTCACTGCGTTTCATTAACTAACCTCAACAAGTATTTTTCCTCACTCGATCATTAATTTTACCTTTTGCTTTCTGGTCACTCCACAAAGCATGGAACGTTTTAAAAGAGCGGGGTCCAGTTGAGGGCTGAAATGTCCGGATATTAAGAGAGAGGAAGAAGTGCAGCAAACTGTTGCCTCGATTTCGGACCAACGTAGCCATCTTCCCAGCTCCAGCAAGAAAATAGTCTGATCTTGACGTTGGTCCAGATGTTCTGTAAGCAGAATTTTTTTTACTAGGATAGACATGAGAGAGAGCAAGCTGGATATCACCAGGATCATATCACCAAACTTTCACATTTACAGGTAATCCTTGACTTACAATCATTCATTTAGTGACTGATCGAAGTTACGATGGCACTGAAAAAAGGGACTTATGATCATTTTTCACACATACAACCATTGCAGCACACACACACACACACACACACACACACACACACACACACACACCATGGTCATGTGGTCAAAATTCAGATGTTTGGTAACTGTTTTATATTTATGACGGTTGCAGTGTCCTGGGGTCCTGTGATCACTTTTTGTGACCTTCTGACAAGCAGAGACAATGGGAAGCCAGATTCACTTAATGACTATGTTACTAATTGAACACCTGCAGTGATTCTGACAGGGCTCCAACAAATTCACCCTCATTCAAATCAAAAGTCTCTAGCTGCATTTCAGAGAAAAGAAAATTGATTTATTAGAGGTTGCCATGTTGGCACGTGGCTGGGTGCAGCCAATACATCATACATTTCCCCCTTGACCCTGGATGTGACTTCTCCAATGGGACACATCCATCTCCAAGGGTCATCCATCATGCTCTCCAATAACCTTCTTATGCTCTGATAACTTTGGGCCAAAGGAGTATTTTTTTAGTTGACAGATTCATTTGATAACTGTGGCCAAAAAGGTCGTAAAACCAGGGCAAAATTTATTTAACAAATGTCTCACTCGACCACAAAAATTGGGGACTCAATTGTGATTGCAAATCGAGGACTACCTGTATTCTAACATAAGGTATTAAAGCTGTGTTACCTTTTATCACAAATATGTTGATTTCCTAACACTTCAGTATTGCCCCATGGCTAATATCACCATGTCACTGACATGCTCCCTGGAAAATACAGCTTTCAAGTTACCCATCTCCATCACAAAAAGCTTGCCTACCTCTAGGTTAATCCATCATGTGGTTTGCTTTCATTTTACCATGTTGTGGGGGACCAAGCCATTGTGCTTTGTAAACTATGATTTGTGGCTAAACATGTTGGCTAAATCCAGACATGTGTAGGCCTTCCAAGAAAGTCTTTCAAATTTGCTTTGAAAAGATCTCCAGAAATATCTTTGATCAAATTTTCCAAAAAAAGTGAGTAGTATAGGCAAGAAGTGGATGAGTTTTATGGCTTCTGTTAATCTTAAGAACAACAAAAATACACTCATATATACATACATAGTCATCTAAAATTTCAAGCTAATTAACAAATTGAAGTATGCAGCTTATGGTTAAATGGTCTGGGAGTTTCAATTTCAAAAGTTGGGCGTAGTTATTTAATTTTCATCAGCTTATCAAAACGTGGAAAGCCTGACCGCATAAAACTATAATATCTAAAAAGATTTAGTATCTCAAACTGTTACACTTTTGTCTCCCACATCCCACACTCTGATATGTCTCTGCTTTCAAACTGATGCATGAGTAAAATGAAGCAATGAATCACAGACATTCCATGAATAGATATAATCCTGGATAGAAGTTCAGACACAGCTGGCAAAAGATCCTGGTTAAAAAATATATATTTCACATGGCAATATGTTTATGTATGTTCTACTCCCCCTCTACAGTATATTGCCACGCATCCATCAAATACACATTGCCGTGTCTACAAGTCCTTTTCAGCTTGTAAGGAACCAAGAATTTCCATACTGCTTCTCAATGTCTTCTTAGCTCTGTCAAAAAGGAAGACAAATACCCTGAGGCAGGTGTAATTTGGAGATGTCATCCAACTTTGAAGAATACTCAAGATCAGTAAGACGCCACATCGAACAAACCAGCCATCGTGCTAAGCCTACGTAAATTTTTAGAGGAATTTGCTTCATTTCGGGTCAAATTGGAAATAAATTGTTGTAATGGCCAGTGTGAAGCAACATGTCTCTTGTCGTGAAAGCCAAATTTGATTTATAAATGGCAGGACTCATTCATTGATCCCATTCCTGGCCTCTAACTTTCAAGACAGAACAAGGACTGGGACTCAGAAAGAATGGGGACATAAGAACTGTTTTAGCACAGTGGTTAGAATGCAGCCTTGCAGTAGTTCAATCCTGACCGGCTCAACGTTGAGTCAGTCTTCCATCCTTCCAAGGTCAGTGAAATGAGGACCCAGATTGTTGGGGGCAAGATGCTGACTCTGTAAACTGCTAGAGAGGGCACTGTGAAGCACTGTGAAGCAGTATATAAGTCTAAGTGTTATTGGTATTATTACAGGTACTCCTTTAATTACAACTATTGAAAAAAAGTCATTTATGAATGATCCTCACACTTATGATCATTACAGTACCTCCATGGTCACGTGATTAAAATTCAGGTGCTTGGCAATCAGCAGGTACTTACAACAGTTGCAATTTCCCAGGTTGTTGTGATCATAATTTGCGACTTTCCCAGCTGGCTTCCAACAAGTCCATGGATGGAAGCCATATTTGCTTAATGACATCACTCCACTTAACAACTGCAATGGTTCACTTAACAAGCATGGCAAAAGAGTAGTAAAATCAGGCATGAATCACTTAACAACTGCCTCACTTAACAATGGAAATTCTGCTCCCAGTTGTGCTCTTAAGTCAAGTTAAGAGTTCTTAAGTTGCTGGTCCCCCAACATCCATGGCTGACTTTATCTGCTCAATGGTAGGGTTGGACCAAATGTAGGTCCACCTGATCTAAGGCCTCTCATGCTGGCCATGAGTTATAGAGTACCTAAAACATATTTACTTATTAAGTGTTTTCTGAGGTCCAGTACATTGTTGAAAGCTGCAGTTTCCATTTAGATGTTATCAAATGCATTGGGAAAATTCTTATAAACACCTTTATTCCAATCTTCGTGGGAATGTCCTAGTTTTAACATAAAGTTTATCTGCTTCTGCTAGTATATTGTTGCTTCATTGGTTTGATGATTTGTTAAAACAGTACTGAATACTGTTTTATGATTTGACTATGTCAGGGTTCCGGCAGTTACTCCAATTAAATCAAGAGCCTTGAGCCACACTCCCAAAACTAAAGAGGATTTATTTGAAGGTAACGTTCTATGCCCAGATTAGTGCCAGACGTAGAATATTACCTTCAAATAAACCCTCTTTAGTTTTGGGAGTGTGGCTCAAGGCATGAGCCACACTGCCAGACTATTTATTTGTAGTCCAAAGTATGTTGCAATTCACGTTTTTATTTTTTTTTAAATAAAAATCTTAAATCTATTATTCTGTGTATTCTGAGTCCAGATAGTTTATAAACAAGTGCAGTGTACAAACTTTAGCAAAAATTATTTTGCATTTCGCAGAGACTTAAAAGAGAAACAGCAATGTGAAATTGACACACATGCCTTTAAAGTCCCTGGAAAATACAAAATAACACTTCCAAAAAGCCTACAAACAATTGGTTGAATCTAGCAGCCTGAATAAATTAGATTAATTAAGATCCTTTGTGGTTTAATGAAACATAAGACTTGTTGCTCTGACTTGGTCCCTTCTGAGCTTTATGCTGGCCAGGAATTATGAGAGTAGAAATCAGGGCACATCAAAAAAAAAAAAAAAAAAAACTACTTGTGAGAAAAATTGTGTCTCAGACTGTGAACTCAGTTTGCTTCGGCCAGTAAGGGAGAAGGGCAAAGCCCCCCCCCCCCCCCAAGAAAAGTATTTATTTTTTCTTTGTACATTTACACAGAATCTGTCCTCTAGAAACATACTTTGCCCCCTTCTGGATTTTGAAACATAAGAAAACATTCATTACATCAAATTCAAGCAAGCTTTTGCAAAAGATTAGCAACTTGGCTTAGTTTTTTTTTTTTTTAAATAAAGATAAAATCCTCAGAAGATTCCTGAATTCTGAACCTCCCTGTGTCATGTTTGTATGGAATTAATGCAGAATGACCACTGGAAGTCATCTGGACTATGAGATGATCCAAACTCTGGGACATGCCAGGCTAAACAGGGTATTTTCTGGTGGGGGGAGGACCCCCAGCTAAGTACTCCTAATAGATCTCAAACTCTAATCAAAGTCAACTGGTTGGATCTGATCTCTTTTGTGGTCAAAATAATCTGCCGTTCCCTGTTTCCCTGGGATTAGTGTTTTAAGGGCACCCTTAGCTTTCTACAAAGAAGAGTCGTTCCAAATATTACGGCCTTCACTTTCCACAGTTGTCTGCTGGAACGCTGCAGAAACAAAGAACTAGGAAGCAGCTGAAGGAGCCGCACAATGCTCTACATTTATGGCAAAGAACAGCAGTGTTAGAGAGTGATTAAGCAAAGACTAACCTGTGGATCTGTGTCCTTAGGAGATTTCTCTGTCCTCCATTGACAACACAAGGGCAGCCTTGGGGGGCTGCTGGCTGTTAAGTGACCTTCGTATTAGCAGCTTGCTGGCAGAGGGAGAGAGGGCAGTTTGGGTGGTTTATAAATAGGTGCCATGTGATCCCCAAGGCACTTGGCACAGCCAGCATGGAGTCTTTCAAAGTAATACAGAGCTAAGACATCCTAGGAAGCTATGCACAAGCCTGACCATTCCTAGTTTTCCTGTGGCAATCTTGGAAAGGAAAACCTGAGCCAGGTTAACAGATGGAATAACAGAGTTGGAATGGACCTGGGAGGTCTTCTAGTCCAACCCCCCCCCCTGCCCAAGGAGGAAACCCTATACCAGTGGCGGTATTCTACCGGTTTGGGGCGGTTTGGGCCGGTTCGGCCGAGCTGGTAGCGCCAATGAGCAGTGGAGACCAAACCAGTTCTGTCTGCCACTCTGCTGTCAGGCCCACCAGCTCGCCTGGGCTCCCATACTCACTTTTATCCTCTGCTTTTGAAGCACAGCTGCTTTGCGCGGCACAGCAAAGTGCCACGCGGCAGTTGCTGAAGCAACCGGGATTGTACAGGCTTGCAGGAGGTGAATTAGACCACCTCTGCATCTGCGCAAAGTGCACCTTTGGTGCATGCATGCAAGCAAAGTATGTGCACACATGCAAAGTGCGCCCACCAAGCCACACCCACCAATCCAATGGTAAAAGTATTTGAATCCCACCACTGCCCTTTACAATTTCAAAAAAATGGTTGTCCAATCTCTTTTTAATTTGCCTTATATTACATGACACAATAGGCCTTAAGCTCTCATGTGTCCATCCCAAAGGTGCTTTTTTCCAAAGACCACTGGACTTCTTTTCTTTGAAAACATTTCACTTCCCATCCAAGAGGTTTCTTCAGTTCTGAAGAACTGAAATGAAATGAACTGAAGAAACGTCTTGGATGAGAAGCGAAATGTTTTTCAAAGAAAAAAACCAAGAAAGTCCAGGTACCTTTTGGAAAAAGCACCTTTGGGACAACCATCCTTCGGATGATTGAGACTTCAACTCTCCTGTGTCTGTCACATCGTTCATTGATCCTAAAATGGACCAGGGCAGTGGTGGCTAACCTTTTATGGCTGCCTTGATGATAATTGCACGTGCGCTCACATGCCAGTACCCAGAAGGCAATGCATGCTGGGCCCTCCCACGCCCCCTGTGCATGCGTGCGTGACCCAGGGGTGGGATTCTACCAGTTCGCACTTATTCGATAGAACCGGTTGTTAACATTCTAAGCAGCTCGGAGAACCGGCTGTTAGAAGAAATTACTGGCCTAATCCTGTAAGGAAGGCAGGAAGGAAACATTCTGGTGTTGCTTACAGAAACTGCCTCTCCACTAACCCTTATTACATTCTTGGCAGGACTAGACTTCCTGTCTCAGGAACATCTCTGGAGTTTTTTCCCCCCTCCTTTGCTGGTACTTTGCTTGTGTGGAGTGACCATTCAAAGTTACAATGGCACTGAAAAAAGTAAATTATGACCATTTTTCACACTTACGATTGTTGCAGCATCCCCACAGTCATGAGAGGCCAGGCGAGGAGATGGTGCCTTGATGTGAGTGATATTGAGTTGGCCACACCCAGCCAATAACATGACCACCAAGCCACGCCCATCACCTAAGCCACGCCCACAGAATCGGTTGTTAAAAATTTTTAATCCCACCCCTGGCGTAACCTCCCACACAGTGCGCATCTCTGCACATGCGCACACATCTCCCACGCACCCCTGCCCCCCGCGCATGCACGTCAGATACCCGACTATCAGCTGTCGGGCGATGGCGGTGCATGTGGATGTGCAGGGGAGCTCTTCCAGGAGAGCTCTCCTGTGCCAGCAGAAGTGGCTCTGCGTGCTGCTTCCGGTATGCGTGCCATAGGTTCGACAACACGGGACCAGGGCTATGGTGACTTCAGGCCAGTCAAATGTTTGAACATTCTGGTCCCCCTTGCTGCCAACTCTGAACATTTCATACGATGAAATGATTTTACGTCTTGCAATTACTCCTTGTCCTACAGCAGAATATTCCCCAAACACAAGTAAAGATGATGCAAAATTTGCTATTATTAAGCAGCAAGCTAACCCCAGACCTTATAAGGCTTTCGGTATAAATACCGCAATGTTGAATCTTTCCCTTACAAGAAAATTCCTTTAATTGGCAGGATTCTTTATGTACCTTGAGTGATGGACAAGCAGAATGCTCGAGAATGAAACTGTACCAGACTTCAAGGATATGGGAAGCTCTATGATTATGATCTCTAGTCTGGGGGATAAGAGCATGAAAATGTTGGGGATTTTAACTCCCCCAGGGATAGATAAACAGCAAAACTAAGTGGGCTTAATTGTACAGACCAGAGAAAGTATGGAAGGATTATTAGCTGGCCATTAATCTTTGGAAATAGATATGAACAAGACCTTGGACTTGTTCTAAAAGCTGTGTAAAGTCTTTTTTTTAAAAAAAAAAAACCGCAAGAAGATCATGTCAACCTACAGAAAAGAAGGCAGGGGATGAACTCAGAAAGGATCTAACTTTCTAATGTTTATTTTACCAAAAGATGCAGAGCTAGGATTTGTCCAACACTCCTCTTTTTGAGTCAGTTTTGACTGCCGGGACAAACCCCTGCAATCTCTTGGGCAAGATTTTTCAGAAGTGGGGTTTGCTGTTGCCTCTTTCCTAGAGCTGAGACAGAAGGAGACTGGCCCAAGGTCACTCACCTGGCTTTGTACCTAAGGCAGGACTAGAATTCAGTCCCTCGGTTTCTAGCCTGATGCCTTAACCTCTGCACCAAACTGGCTCTAATTAATTATTTAGCATCCCTATATTTAACTTCAGAGTTTTCTATCTGAAGGCCTCAGCAATCCAAGTGAGGATAAAACTGATGTCTTTCTTCCTCTATGGTAAAATACATTGTGCTTACTTGATAGTTTATTTCTAATTCAAATTGTGTATTTGCAACTAAAAATTATAATACAGGTAATAATACTTGTAAAAGATAATTCTTTTCTTTTTACTAATTTTATTGATTACAATATTTAAAAACATTGAACGTGATGGACTTCATTGACATACATTTTTGTCCTTACACCTCATACAAGATCTTATAAATATTTATGTACATTCGGTTTTTATATATTTTAAACTGTTTCAGTTACATATCAGTTGAATCATTCATTTTGTGAACTCTCTTTCTGTTCCCTCCAATAATAGAATTTATTCCATATCATATACTAATCAGATTTGTCTTTATCTGTATAAAAGAATTCTGAGGAGGCTGGAATATCAAAAAAAAAAAGGAACTAATGTGATTTTGATGATACACATCTAAAGCTGCAAACCTAAAGCATACCTGACCATCCAACGTTAGATTCAAAATAAGCTCCCTAAAATAAAACATTGTTATGAATATGATCAAAAATACAGTAGCCCCAAGAGTAAAATCCAAACTTTTATGTGCTCCAAAAAGCATCAACTGTTTTCTCTATTAGCAATAAAATGCCTTTGCTAAGTACCCCAAAAGGAAAGCAGAAAAATATGCAATGGTTGTATGGACAAGTGAAGATATCTTTGATTCTTTGAGATTAACATATGTTTCTTATTGAAAAATGTTGCGTGATGTTCTTCCCTCAGTGCACAAAGATGGTTGGTTAAGAAAATAAGCAAATAAATACAAGAAGAAAATCTTTGGCCATAGCAAAAAGTATGACATCATAGAAAACGCCAGTGACATTCCAAAGGATGATATTGATACATATTTAATTTTGGTCTTGAGAAATACGTGGGGTTAAAAAAAAAGATGGTTTTTACACTTGCTTTGTTGTCTGCTTATTACTGTCAGTTTCTGGATAAATACTCAAGTTGTCTGGTTAAAGAGCAAGGAAGTCTTACAGAAATCAAAATCATAGGGCAAGGGTCTTCAAACTTGGCAAGTTTAAGATTTGTGGACTTCAACTCCCAGAATTCCTGAGCTAACATGACTGGAGGAGGAATTCTGGGAGTTGAAGTCCACAAAGCTGTCAAGTTTGAAGAACCCTGTCATAGGGCACCAAAAAACTGCAAAATCTTTGGCTAAGTTCTCTCTGCTCATTGGCTATCTAAGGTCACCAACCAAGGGTGTAGATCAGGGGTGTCCAATCTGAGCAATTCTAAGACGTGTGGACTTCCAACTCCAGCATGGAGTGAAGCTCCCCACATGGACTTGGAGCACTGAAGATGTGCGGATTTCAACTTATATTATAGTTGGCTGGGGAATTCTGGGAGTTGGAAGTCCACGGGTCCACAAGTTTCCAAGGTTGGACATCCTTGGTGTAGAGCAAATCTAGGACTGTCTTTTTGTTTCTCCAATTCTATTTCATCCTGGCTTTGCTTCACCTTATTTGATCTGCCAGAATTAGATCTGCCATGGAGCATTCAACCAACAATGGTTCAATTGGGATAGATGTGAAAATGATGCTTATTTGGACAATTGTTTAAATTTCTTTGACTGTTTATGTTTGTCTTGGGCTGTGGTAGATACACACTCCTGACCTCTTCCAGTGATTAAAGGACAAGTAAATAGGCAGAAAACATAAGCCAAATATGGCTGGATGTTGTTTAAGAGAATCTGGTCCAAGAATTAGATAATGTCAGGTAGATTCAGCTGTAGAAGATTTCCCACTGGCCTCATGGGCTTAATCTTGTTTATCTTAATGCTTCGATGTTTTGCAATAGGATTAGAAGCTCCTGATCCTCCAGTGATTTATTTCTTTTCTTTCTTGCATTATTTCTTTTTGTTGCTTATTCCTGGCTACTAAGACAAGTGCAAAAGGAGACTCATTTTCTAACATCAGCGGTGTTGATCTGCTGCTTAGCAATGCAGACCTTATAGCTTTTGAAAGCATGGGTATACCAAGCCTCCTCATCTGACTTGAGAATAATTTGTATAATTCAGCATCAAAGAAGTGGTAGAAACACACAGAGATGCTGTAGGAGCTTTAGATGTTTTGAATGCTGTGCATATTCTTGCAAGCTTTTGTTTTAGG